GGGGGGGGGTGGGAATAAGGTGCCGGGACCGCGCGTCGCCCGGGGCAACGCCATCCTCCCGGTGGAACAACCCGGTCAATGGGGATTGAGGGAGGGGGGCATTCGGGGCCCAGAAATTCCGAGGGCGGGGGCGGGGAGCCGAGACCGACCGCGCAAGCGCCAGGGTGCGCAAGCGCAGTGGCCTCCCGGGCCCGCCACACCCTGTCGTCGCTCGCGCGCGGCGTCCGTTGGTGCGACGGCCGACCTAGGCCTCAGGACCCGCTGGGTGGAGGGCCGGAAGGAAACGCCGTCCCCGCCCGACCGCCCACCGCTCCCCACACCCACCTCCGCAGTTTGTCCCCTAGAATCGTCAGCAGCGGCCCAAGGCGACAGCGACACGGCCGCAGAACTGCTCGCGACCCGGCTGGTTCTTGTCTTCCTTGGGCTTCGACGTTCTGACCGCAGCGTCCTGACGTCACACGGAGGCCTCGCCCCACCTCCCTCGACACAGCACAGCCAATGGGCGCCTCGAGCTTGACTTGAGCCCGCCCCCTGCTTGCGCAAGGACGCGTGGGCGTTTAAGGCAAGCCGGAAGACTAGGGTGGGGACGGTGGCCCCGAGGGGACACGCCCGGCGGGGTCGGCCGGCGTTGTGCCGGCACACGCAACCGTGTCTTGGCTTAGTGAATGGTAGCCGCCGTTGTTTCCAGACACAGAGTAGCGTGAGGAGCGATGTGAGACTACCTGCCGTACAGCTGTGGAAGCCCGGGGCAGAGAATGGTGAAGTCGAAGAAAGGGGGTGAGAACAGCCTCCGGGAAAGGGAGCTTCCCTACTGCATGAAACTGCCAGGCGCCCCCGGCCGAGAACGCCTGCAAACGCACGGAGGCGGGCGACGGGAAAGGCCTGGGGACCACCGCGGAAGCACGGGGGGAGCAGGTGGCCGCGGCGGAGTAAACGCGTGCGGGGTCCTGGACTAAGCTGATGGGTCTGTACAGGTGGGCAGGTGGCACACCCTGGAAGGGCAGTGGTGCCGCGCTGGGAAATGTGGACCTGGCAGGTAGCAGGGTGCCCTTTGTTTCCATCCTGGATCCTGACCGGTGGCACGATCCAGTCCGGCTCAGGGACCGCTCAATGTACGCATAGTAGGCAATAGAATAATTATTTCAGAAGCCGTTTCCTTCCCGTGTTTTACTATTAGGAACTTTTCTGTTGATGACTGCGTATCATTTTAATTAGCACAGTTGATCTTTTTCTGTCTTCTCTCTTTAAAAAGAAAATTTTGTTTTGGGTTAATTTTGGGTGTACAAAAAGTTGCAAAGATAATTCAGAGTTCTGTGTATCCTACACCTGTTTTCCCTTAATGCTGTTATCTCACATTATTGTAGTATATTTGCTAAACCAAGAAACCAACATTGGCACGTTACTGTTAACTAAACTGCAGCTTTATTTGATTTTTACTTTTTCCACTAATGTGTTCTTTATGTGCTAGGGTCTAATCTAGAGTACCCCATTGCCTTTAGCATCCCTTTGCTCTTTTTACTTTTGAGAGCAAGAGTGAGAGCGTGCATACTTGTAGGGAAGGAGGGGCAGAGAGAGGGAGAGAGAGAATCCCAAGCAGACCCTGAGTTGTCAGCGCAGAGCCCCTTGCCGGGCTTGATGACACGAACTGTGAGATCGTGACTTGAGCCGAAATCAAGAGTCAGACACTTAACTGACTGAGCCACCAGGCGCCCCTAGCATCCCTTTACTTTTAACGGGTATATTTAAGGTGGGTTTCTTCCTTCCTTTCTTTTTCTTTCTTTCTGCCGATAGGTTTCTTGTACATAGCTTATAGTTGGGTCTTTTTTACCCAAGTGAACAATCTCTGCCTTTTAAAAGAAGTGTTTATAACAACACTTTTAGCAAGATCATTGGTATGCTTGCCTTTATACCTGTCGTCTTGCTATGGGGCTTCTATTTGTCCCATCTTTGTTTCCTTTTTCCCCTTTTGTGGCCTTCTTCTGGTGTGAGATTTTTCTTTTTTTAACAGGCTTTTTTAGAGCAGTTTTAGGTGGGGCCTTTGGGAGGTGTTCTGTCTCAGTCCCCCTTTGCTGTTCTGTGGTCAGACTCTGATGACCATGGGCTGTGGTGATTTCAGGGCTCACCTGGGTGTTTTCCACGTCAGGGATCACTCTCCTTTGCCTGATGCTCGGTCTTGAGCCCTGTTGTTTTACATATTTTGTCTGGCCTTTTGGTTGTTTCAGGAAGGAAAGAAAACCTAGTCCCTGTTCCTCCCTCTTGGTTGGAAGTGAAAGTCCTTCTGTGTGTGATTTTTAAAATAAAAGTATATTTATCTTTCGTAAAGGTTAGACGAAATGTCCTTCTTTTTTGGTTAAAGCTCCCGGGTTACACATCACTCCTGGACCTGTTGGCAGAAAATCAGGCGGCCTGAATCTCAGGCTACTTTTGGAATCTGCAACCCATCAGGGGGCGTTTCAGCTTGCAGGCAAGGACTCACGGTCACCAGAGGGCAGTGTTTGAGGTCAAAGCAGCCTGAGGAGCTGTGGGCAGGCCCCAGGGTCAGCCAGCTCAGCTGCAGTCAAGAGGAGAGAGTGAGTCAACACTTAGGGCCCCCAAAGCCCCTTCACTGGAAGTTGCGGTCAGTTTCTGCTTCCCAGCTTCAGGCCAGTCCACCCTGAAAGCTTCCTTGAACATTCCTTGCAGTGCACAAGATGGAAACTATTAGCAAGACTGGTCGCCTAAGGCAGGCCCTACGCTGTCTGACACCTGGCACTCTGGGCCAACAGGCCCTGACCTGAGACCCTCGGGTATGTGTTTTGAGCTTTAAGGATTTTTCATGGTTTCGAGGGGCAACGTGATCTGTATCCCACACAGTGCCTGGTACCCTCAGTACCCTGCACGGCGTTTGGAAGTAACCCCATCAGTGTTTCTGGAGGGTAGAGATGAACATTCACACAGGCAGGGGGACTAGTCTGTTTTTGCCGCCCAGTGAGTTAAGGGAGTTCAGGGAGACTTGTGGTCCGGGAGAGCTTTGAATTTTGGAATCGCAGAGGAGGGCCTGGGGACCTGTCATATGTCCCCCGCTATGATGGGTGAGGCAGCTGAGCCCCAACAGGTCAAGTGACTGACCACAGCCATCTGATGGTAAGTAAGCAGCAGGCAAGGCCCTTAATCACAGCCTGCACATTTGTCCTCTGTGCTGCCACCGCCTGTCACACCCAGCTCCGTTCTCTCCTTTCCTAGGCCTTCCCTAAAGTCCCGAACCCAGCCAAGGGCTGTTGTGTTCCGGAGAGCCCTGCCATACGGTTATTTATTGGACTCGCCCTGTTTCTGTGGCCTTCAGCTCCGAATTTAGCCAGAAGCCAAAGTGTTGTTG